ACCGTGACATTTAAAATTGCTCGTGTGAATGAAAACAACGTTAAAAAGTTTAAGTACTCGGCAGAATATAGGATGAAACTTTTGTCCCATAAAATTAAAAAATGAATTTTTTAAGAACTTGTATGATAAACTTTATATAGAACGTGTACTGAAGTGGACTTAAAGCGCGTGAAGAAATTTTTGCTCTCTCCCATTCTTTAAGACAAAATCAGGGTCTTTTTCAGACTCCTTCGTCAGTAACTTTTTCGAAAACCCTCCATCGACCCACACCCATAATCTCCAGCACCACCATATACGTCACCTGCACCGCCATGTCGACCACCGACGCCGAAGTTGATCCCGCCGTGTGGAATGCAATTGCAGGCTCCTCTGTTCAAATTCCTCCACGCAGTTCCCGCGTCTACTACTTCCCACAAGGCCACCTTGAAAATTCATCGGCAACCCCAATTCAGAGCTACCATTTATTCCTCAGTCGACCCTTTATTCTGTGCCAGGTCAGTTCTATTCAATTCCTCTCCGATGAATCCGATCAAGTTTATGCTAAAATTCATCTGCAGCACCTCCACCCGCGCCGTCCTCGCCTCAGAGACATTGGCAATAACAGTGAAAATGTGCAAAACGACTTGACTTCTTATGCCAAGATTTTGACTCGGTCCGATGTTAACAAACAATACGGTAGATTTTGTGTTCCCAAATCTTGTGCTGAATTGATTTTCCCCTGGATCGATTTCTCTGCTGAGCCACCAACTGCATTCCAGAATTTGATATTTAAAGATAATTTTAACCTTGCATGGGAGTTTCGCCATGTTTATGGGATCCGGCACTTTCTAACCTCTGGCTGGAGCAGCTTCTTGAACAGCAAAAAACTTGTTGCCGGGGACTCGGTTGTTTTTATTCGCAAACACTCCAGCAATGAACTCTTCATCGGCATTAGGAGATCGATTCGCGCGGACAACATGGGGAGGTGGAATTTCCCATTGGCAAAGAGGGAGGAGAGGGAAAAATTGGCATTGGAGGCAATTTCTTTGGCCGATCAAGGAATTTCTTTTGATGTAGAGTATTATCCGAGGGTGGGG